GTCCCGCCCGTACCGGACCGGGACCGGCAATGGGATCGCAAACCTCGGTGCTGCACCCGCACCTCGCTCAGCCAGTGAGCGGGAACCGGTCTGTATGTGGGATCCGAACCCTCGACAGGAGCGCCGCCGCGCTCCCGAGCGGCGCACTGTAGCAGTGCACCACCGGGCCGGCCCACCTTCTCAAGCTTTCTACACCAAGCATTCCTTAAAACGTATCACAGCGTATGCATATATTTCCTACCCCATCCCCACATAATCTGCTATCAGATTAATCTTTCAAAAATAAATCTGATAATGCTTAAAATCTTTGAGTCCCAATAATGTTCATGACAAAATCCACATCTTTATTTAGGACACAGAGCCCTTCGTGACCTGGATAAAGGTGCCTTGCCTTATCTGTAAAATATGGAAAATAATAGGGTTATCGTGTAGATCAAATGAGTTAAAACACAAAAGTGCTTACAGCAGGTTCTGGCATATAGAAAGCACTGATCAAAGTTAGCTACATTTTAAACTTATCATTAATTGTCTGTTCCCGTTTCCTAGCACTTTTTCTCCTTTGCTCCAGCTGTGCCCAGCCATGCACATTCCTCTAACACATCCAATGTCATGCCTCCTAGTTGTGGCACATTCTGTTTTCACTTGCTGTCTCCCTCTGCCTGGATACCTTCTCTTTCCTGGAGAGGAAACCTGGCATGACCTTCACTCTAAGTAGGAGGTCTCTGCTCTATGCTCCCAGAGCAGTCCGGGCATTCATCTATCGCACCACTTACAGCGCCCTTGACATATGATGAAAACAGTGATTTGTCGGTCCGTCCCTTCTCCCACATGATACTCTCGTATCTTATTCATCTTTGGTTTTTCAACACCTCATGCAGAGTCTGACACCTCATTTGTTGGGTGAGTAAGTTCAAATACACACAAGTACATGAGTAAGTTCAAATACACACAAGTACACAGACTCTTGTCTATATTTAATGCTCTTTTACTAGAGCACTTTCTTCTTTCAAGAAGAATCCAAAAGGATTTACTACGAGTTAAACATCAGGGCATCATTGCTTGAGATTTCTGTTATCTATCCTGCCTCTAGGAAATTTTGACTTATTCAACTAAATATCAAATCACGTAGACCTTTTTTGGCAGCTGTTCAGTATGGGGATCAAACCCTAGACCTTAGTATTATCAGCACCATGCTCTAATCTACTGAGTTAATCAGCTGGCCCCGCAATTTATTTTACTTGCCTTAAGCAAAATGGATTTTAGCAATCTAATTATTTGTTGCACACATAACCTGAAATTACTAAACATAGAGCCACCTCAGAATTTCTTTCCCTAAAAAGATAGTATGTAAGCGAATGCAATAAACAAAAATATTAAAAATATAATCATAAGATTTATATGATAGATTCTTTGCCCAGATCAAGAAGTAATGCAGTACTAGATAAATCAATATACCTCTCTGCTGTAGGGTTTTTTTTATATAAACTTAAACAGAAAATAATTGCCAAGCTGACTTATGATGCTCAGTTACAATGTAAATAATATGACATAATAAAAATAATAATAAACATTTGCATTGAATATAAGACATTGTCTTTTTCCTGTTAGCAATCTTACCTTTTGGAAAGCAAGTCATATTCATGTAAAATAATCAACAAATTTTCTACAATGTTGAGTTCAGTTATCTTCTCCCTACATTCAGCACTACAAATTGAAAAGTATTAGTAACTACTAAAAACCTATCTTACTACATTCACTTATTTAGTATCCTAGATCTTATATTATCTCAAGAGGAGAAGCAAACAAACAAAAAAAAATGCTGTTCACAAAAAAGCAAAGACCCACCTATTGGTATAAAAATGTACTTAAAGCTCATTTATTTAAAATAATCATGAGATCTATAGAAAACAAGTTTTCTAAAAAATATTTTTAAGCCAAAAATGTTTTAAAATGTTTTGTGTGTTAGAATAAATATACAGGTAAGAATGAAAAAAGAAGAGCAGGGAGATTCAACCACTAGAGAAATATGGTAATTTTACAAGTAGAAGTAACTGAGGGTTGGATGAAAAGACTAGGTAAATATTTCTAATCAGGAAGAAAAAGTAAATTTAAAACTGCAATTTGCCTTTCCAACTTAAACTTTAAAATGATGCTTTCCACACAGGATCCTTTTCAACATATAAATGTTTTTTCACACTTATTTTTCACAAATTTTTATTGGGTAGGTGACAAAGTAACTGATCTAGTTTGCATCCCTCCCACTTAAACTGCGACAGCAGCAGAGCTGTAAGTATCTTAAAATACACTTACCTTTCAGCTAAACTAGCCAGAGCCAAAAGAGAACCCAGCAGAACATTAGTATCTCGGGCACCAAGTAAATTCACTAACGTCTGCAAAATGAAACAAAATAGAGTTTAATTATGTAAGTACTACAAGCTTCTTGAATAGCATGTTTCCTTCTCAAGATCACAGAGGCTTAACTTTTTTTCTTTTTGGTCAATATTTTAAAATGTATGAATAAGCATATACAATGAAGCACAAATTGTGTATACCATTTTATAGCTACTCTTTTGTTTTTTTCTTAATGTTATTCACTAAAATTTTTCCATGGCATTAAATATGTCTTTATAAAAATTATTTTTTTGTCAATACAGTTAAATTATTTACTACAGTATGGCTTTACTATGGAATAATGAAAAATGTTATGCCCTATCAACCCTTATGTAGGTCCTTTTATTTATTTTTATTTTTTGTAGTCAATGTAGATGCTTAACCGCAAAAGGAGTTTTAAAATATCCAGTTCTTTACAGAGGTCGGTATCCATCCCCTATCAACCCTTATGTAGGTCCTTTTATTTATTTTTATTTTTTGTAGTCAATGTAGATGCAAAAGGAGTTTTAAAATATCCAGTTCTTTACAGAGGTCGGTGTCCATCCTCTCCTTACTTTTGAACTTTTGAGAGTAGCCCCTTGTGACCATTCCTTGCCCAGGACAGGAAACGAAAGGGAGCAGGCCACATGACCAGCCTGGTTCTCACACTGCCCTCTGTTTCCATGTGCCCAGGCATTCTGCTCTGCCACTTCTGATCCCTCCCAGGGAGAAGTGGGGACACTAGTGATATAGATTATAATACTGGTAGCAACTAGTCATTGAGAACTTACTCCGAGCCGGGCATTGTGCTAGGCACTTTCCAAATTATGAAACTGTTTTTCAACAAAATGTTGAAACTTTCATTTTTTTTTTTTTTTCAAACTAAGTGAAATTTGTCAACAGTCTGGAGCACGCCGCTTGCCTCTCAGATTTCTAACTGATGTTGAGAGTTGAACATCATTTATGTTCCTGAGCATCGTCCTAAGTAACGTGGCTTAGCTGGAAGTCTTCCATATCTTGACAGTTCCCTTCCCTGAATTCTCACTAATGCAAATTCTCTTATCTTCTCTCTACATTTTCAGAACTCAGAGCACCCAAAAAAGTGCATACCCAAAATTCTCCAGGCCACAGCTCCACCTGTGCAATGACTGCTGTGATGATTTTTTTGGTTTCCATTATGTGGGTTTTTCCCCTTCATGATTTCTTTCTTTATTTAATGAAGCTGCCATTATCTTTGTTTCCCCAATCCCTTCCCATTTTTCTTCTCTCACTTTTCTTTTCTCTCTCTCTCTTCTAACAGTGTTTCCCAGACTTCAATCTCAATATATCATTTTCACAATTTTTGCCACATTCACTTAACAGTTTAATGCTAACTCAAAAATTTTCTTCCAATTCTAAGCAATAATATCAGTGAAATAGATGACTATTGAAATGAAAAATGTTGACCTGTATATC